GTGCCAATAGCTAGGGAGTAGAATTATTTTGCCAGAGTCTATGTTTTGCGAAGGTTTATAACCTGGGTGTCTTCAAGGCCCGAATGAATAGGTTGCTTATGGGACGACGTGCTCCATCGTAGACCGCATCATCGTGCACTACGAAGCGAGATGCTTAGTGAATAAACGTTGACCTTAAAAGGGAGTCTAATGAAGAGATATACATATGTCAAGATATTTTTTCAAAAATGTACACAGATGACAGTAAGAAATTGATTTACTCATTGTTTGAGCGACTATACACGCGACTGCCAAGCAAGTCAAAGTTAAAGTCAAAGCATTTATTTCAATTAAACCATAATTTGGTACTTTTGAAACGTCAACAAGTATAAAATAAATAATAGTCTGTCAGTCAGTCCGTCAATGAAGCTAGGTGAAGCTAGGTGCTCATTCCAAAATGTAGATTCGAATGGAGAAGAACGAGCAAGAAACTTCATTCGATATGATATCGTACTCAACTCTAATTTTATAGTCTAATCACATATGCATATGTGAGCACCATCGTCATCGTCATCGTCAGTATGCATACTGACAATCCATAAAAATAGTGCTTCTATACAAGAAAAGGAAACTCTTTGTTTCAATAAAGAAAGAAATGCTCGATGCCTATGTTTCGGTATCTATCTAAAAGTGTTTTATGTAAACCTCTTTAGGGAATAAATACCATCATATACCAAATAATAATTTACTCAACACGGTGATTAAACTCAAAACATCGAACGTAAATAAATCTCTAAACAAAAACAGATCAATTCAGTGTTACATAGCGTCAAGTTCAAAAAAATCAATTGTTTTTTCGGAAGAGGAAACTATTTAACATCGGAACTACCTTCCTACCAGCCTTACATATTCTAACAAGTTTAATTATACCATATTTAACATCTACAGGTATCACTTGATTTCAAGGCTTTCATACTACTTGTGTGATTCTTAAACTAAATATTTAAACTTGAGATGACCTCTGCTTACCTCATATTTGAACTTCCAAGTTGACTTACGATGTTTGGTGACGAATTAGCGAGGTTAACCTGTGGTTTCCTGAGGTTTAGAAGTAGATGGGACGGGTAAACAGCAGCTCATGTGGTATTAACAAGGATGTTGTGAGACATATTTAGGTATCGTCACCTGTAAACAGCAGCTCATGTAGTGTAGATGTCCAGTCAACAAGGATGTAGCGAGGTTGACTGTCCAGGCGACACACGTACTTAGGTATCGTCATGAGCTAATGTTCACATGTAAACAGCAGCTCATGTAGTGTAGATGTCCAGTCAACAAGGATGTAGCGAGGTTGACTGTCCAGGCGACATACGTACTTAGGTATCGTCATGAGCTAATGTTCACATGTAAACAGCAGCTCATGTAGTGTAGATGTCCAGTCAACAAGGATGTAGCGAGATGCACACATATTTGAATATTAATCTAGAATTTCTTTATTCAAAGTAATTTAAAACTTATTCTAAAGAGTAGAAGGTTCATTTCTATTCGGAAAACAGATTTTTATTATTCATTCATTTTTTTCTTATCACATTATTAAGTCAATACCAAGTTCTTTTATTATTCAAATGTCAATTCTAAATATATAAAAATTCAACGATTAAATAAGAGATTTTGTCACACAAAAATCTCTCTTACCACCTAAGTAATAAAGGCGTAATTTCTTACCGATAGCTAGTGTTTGAACTTAGCTATTCGATTGTCAACATTAATGGTTAGAATATAAGGTATGTTTTGAGTTTATGATGGGTGTCATCTTTACCTGATTAGGCATTCAACCTTGGACTATACGCAAGAATCAATAAGTATGTTGGTATAGTGTTTTTTTATAAAATTATAAATTTTGTTCACACATAACTTCTCAGTACATGTGCACTTAAACATCTCTATGACCACGTAGTTTTAATAGCGACTTTCGAACTCAAGTATCTAAGTTCGATTATCAGGCTGATAAAAATTGAGATCCCTTTTTGTTTTTTTTTTTCATGGCATAAGCCGGTAAACAAGCAGACGGATCACCTGATGGTAAGCAATCGGTGTCGCCCATGGACACCTGGAATACCAGAAGCGTTACAAGTGCGTTACCGACCTTTTGGGGATTAGGAGTTTGAGAATCGTTGGGGATTCAGGGATTGGGGAGATTGGGGAAAGGGAGGGTAATTGGGCCTCCGGTAACCTCACTCACACGACGAAACACAACGCAAGCGTTGCTTCACGTCGGTTTTCTGTGAGGCCGTGGTATCACTCCGGTCGAGCCGGCCCATTCGTGCCGAAGCATGGCTCTCCCACACTTTTTTGAGGTGGCCAAATCATTTAATGACGTCTCCCGCCTTAGGTGAAGCGTAAGAGTCTCAGACTCTTACTGACTAAATCACGTTGCTCTTCTTGCTTCAAGAACCTCAAAGTTAAGATCTATGTCACTCTCTATTTCAATTCAAACTTACGTTACGTAGCTTCCTGCCTCGCACAGCAAAACTGTGGAATGATCTGTCGTCGGCGGTATTTCCGAACCGATACGACCTTCAAACCTTCAAGAAAAGATCGTATTCCTTTTTAAAAGGCCGGCAACGCACCTGTGACTCCTCTGGTGTTGCGGGTGTCCATGGGCGGTGCTGATCGGTTACCATCAGGTGATCCGTCTGCTCGTTTGCCTCATATTCCATAAAAAAACTCTACTCTAGAAAACAAAAATCAGTTTAAGTGAAATTTTGCCCGACATGGGCCCTGAAGCTAACCCCTTACTGGACGAACCAGCTAGTGGGATAATCATGTACATACCAGCCAGTCTTTGTCAACTGCCTCACACTGTCCTCCCCCCATGACTTACACCTACATATAAACCTGACTCTTGAATCACTCTATCTATTCAAAAAAAACCGCATCAAAATCCGTTGAGTAGTTTCAAAGATCTAAGTACACACAGAGACAGACAGAGCGTGTGAAGCCGCGGGTAAAAGCTAGTAGAGAATATTTTTTTTTAACATTGCCCACTAGGATTTTCTCAAATAATAATAAACTTTGTAATTTACATACACATGACATCTAGACCCGAAACAACAATTTGTGGATCGTCCGTGTGGGAATCGAGCCCGCAGCACTCTGCACGGCAGCCGGTAGCCCAACCACCGCACGTTGTACAGCCTACTATAACTAGACAGTTAAAGTACCTAACTGATAAAATATAACTTCGTCCGTAAAGTGCAAAGTTCGATTTCGGGCCATGAACTATTGTTGAATTTGACTTATCTTGTATGGATAATCAAAATACTATTATTATGATAAAGGTCAAGTATTTTGATTCCGATCGTTTTTTTTTAAAACCGATTTCAAAAAGTAAAGGAGTATGTATGTTGGTGCGCGACTATCTCGCGATTGGCTGAACCGATTTCGATGCGGTTTTCAGAAAAGTGTTACACTTAAGAGAAGTGTTTTTAATTAACTGAATTCAATCGTTTTTTAAAAGGCCGGCAACGCACCTGTGACTCCTCTGGTGTTACGGGTGTCCATGGGCGGCGATGATCGCTTACCATCAGTCCGTCTGTTCCTTTGCCTCCTGATCAATAAAAAAAACATAGACGGGGTTGAAGTTGTTTTTTTTAAATGTAGTTTCTAATTATTAATCGGATAGTTAGATCATTACGTTAGTTTTTTTTATTACTGGGCTCTGTTCGAGATTCGGGGGTTGGCGAGATTGGTGATGGAGGTAATTGGGTCTCCAGTAACCTCATTCAAACGACGAAACACAACGCAAGCGTTGCTTTATGTCGGTTTTCTGCTCGGCCGTGGTATCACTCCGGTCGAGCCGGCCCATTCGTGCCGAAGCATGGCTCTCCCACACTTGAAGACTCTATTGAGAAGCACGAGCAAAAACTCTATTTAATTAAGTACCTACTGTTTTTCAATCAGTTCTATAACCCTATGGAATGTAAGGAAGTGGGTAGGCAGACATGTAGGTATTATAATAAAGCTATAAAAATGTAAATATCGTACTGAAGCTAGTTGCTAAGCGGCCATTTTGGATTCGGTGACAATTTCGATCGGAATTAAAAACTCGACAATACATTAAACTATGAATAACCAGTATATATTGAACGTCCAATGTGTGAACGGAACGTATAAAGCTAGACCATGATAAATTGGTTTTATATAACTCTAGATACCAGCCCGGTTAGGGATATAACGAATATAAATTGGCCTTCCAATGTGTGGACAGAACGTACAAAGAGAGACCAAGATAAATTGGTTATGTATAAGTCAATGCGTATATTATCAGCTACGTTAGGGATATATCCAATATAAATTGACCGACGAATGTACAGAAAGATCGTAGAAGGAGGGGTCATAGTAATCTGGTCTTGTGTAGTTCGGTGTATATTATTATACCTAATTTTATTTGATTCGTTTGTAGGTATGTGTCATAGATTTTGATTATGGTTATTGGGGGGTGTGAATTATTTGATTTTTAACAGTGACTCATATATATTTGCTAAGAGATAAATTATTTCGGTTTTTTTTTTAAATTTGTTCAGAGCGTAAATTCAGAAATCTGATTGGTATATGACAATTGGCTCACCCCCTATTATATGGGGCTCATAACATAAATAGTAAAAAGTGGGTGTTATATTGTACATATATGTGCACCTCTGTCTACCACTTCGAGGATTAAAAGATGATGTTATACAATTATTTAGTTATTCTCGGTCCTAATGACAAAGTAATAAGATTTGACATTGAATATTAACTTTCACAGACAAACATACAAAAGCGCACGTACCATCTCCTACGATGCATACCACATTCGTTTCTGTTAGCGGCTTCGCCTGCGTCAGCTTGGGATAAAAAGTAGCCTACATGTTATTCTAGACCATAATATACCCCTGTTCCAAATTCCATTCGTATCCCTTCAGCCATTTCAACGTGATTCAGTAAAAACAGTGCAATAACTATCCCATTTTTTGTTGTTACAGAACCATGAAGCCACTATTCCCTATAGTGGTAGCCTTCCTGGTGATCGCGGCGAACGCACACCCAGAAAACATCGAGGAAGTCAAAGAACTACCCCAAAGTCACGAACCAGTCCTCGAGGCAGAAGCTAGCGAGCCACAGGCAAGAACAGAGCGATGCACAGCATGTGCAGGCACCCACAGCTTGAAATCACCCAAAGAACTCCTAGCCTCGCTGAAAACCCTCCCCAATGCTGAGGTCCACACTCAATCCTCTTTCGAGGAGTGCTCATCCGAAAAGGGATGCGCTGGAGTCAAGATAAAGGATGGCAAAATCATCCAGAAGTTCGGTAACCTACAGGCGTTCAAGGCTGCCGCCAACGCTGACTCAGCCAACGAATTCCAGTTCCAAGCAGCTGGAAACAGCGTCTTCGAAGGTGGTGTCGCCAACGGTGGCCCATTCTGGTGGATGAACGAACAGAACTCTCCCTTCAAAAACGCTGGCGGCTCCTTTGAGAAGTTCAGCAAGTCTTCTTCTAGCTTCACCAGCTCAAGCAACTCTGGTGCTGGTGGTGTCGATTTGGGTGCCAACCCATTCTTGAACGGTGGTTTCTCTAAATTGGCTGGTGGTGCTGGATTTACCGGCGCTGGTGGCAACTTTGCTGGCAGCCAGTCCTTCGAATCATCATCCTCGACCAAGGAGATCGACATCAGCAAGAACCCATTCTTGAGTGCAGGTGCTACTGGTTTCGGTGGACAGAGCTCTTTCGGCAGCGCTCAAGGTAGCTTCGGAGGTGGTCAAAGCGGCTACAACAGCTACAGCTCCGGCTCCAAATTCGGTTCAGGCTACACTGGTTCCTCTCCATCTCCCTTCGCGGCTTCATCTGGTGCCAACGTGAACTTGATCCAGAACTCTCAGAAGAACGAATTCGACTACGCCCAGCAGACACAACAGAACATTGACGAGATCTTCCAGAGCACTGGCAATGTAAATGCTCATGACAACTCTGGCCTGCAGCAGACCTGCGCTGGACAAGGATACGTGTGTGTGTTGAAATCCCAATGCAACAATGGTGTTGTCAACACTAATGGAGGTGGTCTGCTTCAAGCTAACACACAGGTAAGTGTCTTCTTTATATCAGAAAATAAACTTGTGATTCGCAAATTTAACTTAGGTATTAGACCTTTTAAACCTTTTCGGGTTAAAATTCCGAAGCTTTAAGACTTTTCCTCGATTGAGTCATCTATCTATCTATCTATATAAATAAAAATTAATTTCTGTTCGTTAGTCTCGCTAAATCTCGAGAACGACTGAACCGATTTGCCTAATTTTGGTCTTAATATGTTCGTTGAAGTTCAGGGCTGGTTTAAACAGTGGGGAAAACAATTTAGGCGGTACAAAGTTAGCCGGGACAGCTATCAACATAATATTTCACACATAATCAGAAACTTAATAAAACAAATATAAATCATACAATATGTCAATATATCAAGGAAACAAAATTGACGTTAGATATCAAATATTTGGAAATGTCTTTTTAATATAAACTTGACCTTTGTGATTAAAATCGTGTTTAATCATGTCAGTTTGTCGGTTTGTTAAGCTGTTTCGCCTAAACGGTTGTACCGATTCTAATGAATTAGTAAACAGATATAGATAGAGTATATGGCTTTTTTAGATGACAACTCGTTGGCCGAGTGGTCGCAGGTGCGCAGGCAAGGGGTCTCGGGTTCGATTCCCGGGTCTGGCAAGATACTACAGGGTTTTTAAAAAATTCTCAGTAGTAGCACGGAGTCTGGAATTGTGCCCGGTATATGGCAATAGGCTCACCCCCTATTACATGGGACTCATAACATAAATAGTGAAAAGTTGGTGTGGCATAATGTACACCTCTGCCTAAATCCCCTTCGGGGATAAAAGGCGTGATGTTATGTTATGCTGTTAATTGAATTCAAACTTGGAAGTACCAAAGATTAGGGCGTTCACGCTCTTTAGTACTAATTAACTATCTTCAAAAGCTTACTCGCGAAACTATTTATCGAGATATATCGACTAGTTCCAAATCATTCTAGGGACTCTTGAAACAGTACTTCAATACTGTTTATAATACTGCCATACTCAATCATTTAATGGTTACTTAACCCAGTCCTTAGCTAGGTTACCAGAGGCCCAATTACCAAACCCAAGAACCTACAAATTCCTAATCCCCAAAAGGCCGGTAGCGCACTTGTAACGCCTCTGGTGTTCCAGGTGTCAATGGGCGGCGGCGATTGCTTACCATCAGGTGATCCGTGTGCTCGTTTACCGGCTTATCCCATTAAAAAAATATTCTCCTCCTCCTCCTTATGAACCTCCATTTTTTCAAGTCGGTTTAAAAATATCAAAGCAAGCGAAGTCAGCATTCCTAACTAGTACAGCTTTAAGGTCAAATATCATACTTAAATAAATAGATGTTATTCACATCCAAAGGTCATCGTTACTGATGATTTAAGTCATCGCCCAACTATTTAAGAGGTACCTACTTGACAGTCGACAATCGAGAGTTCGACTAGTCGAGTTTTAGCCAAGGACAAGTAGATTTAATTTGGGTTTTTTCGGAATTTGACTAGACTGCCTCGTTGGCCGAGTGGTCGCAAGTGCGACTGTCGGGCAAGAGGTCTCGGGTTCGATTCCCGGGTCGGGCAAAGTATGTTTCATTAAAAGGTGTATGCTTCTCGGCTTCGATTTTCGAGTCAGACAATTTGCGTAGTTTATTTTTCTCAATAATTAGTTATTGTGCCCTCATAAATGGTGAAAAATGAGAACTGATTTTTTTTTACATTTCTTAGGTACGCGTCGGGTTCGATTCTTGAGTAAGAAAATTAGCATGATTCATAAAACTCTAAATATAATTTGTAATTCGGACCGATATATGCCGAAAGGTCCACTCAAATGAATACAGTACACAAAACCATTTTTTATCGTAAGTACTTACCCGAGAATCGAACGTAAAAACCACGTGCTTAGTAATCACAATACAAATAAGACTAATAAGGCAATTGACATAATAATGCGTAAGACTAAAATAATAATATTCAAATTCTACGCACATTCACAAATGTCAAGTATTAACATAATGCCACAGCCGAAACTCGAACCCGGATCTTCCCATTAATAAATCATCTACAATTCACATCTGTATGTGTGTCTGTTCAAACACAAAGCTACGAAACTGATGGATTCATTTTGATAGACGCGTCGAATTCTTATTTACTGTAGACTTGACAAAAGATCGCTAATTGATTAATGTTTTTGTATTTTAATTGGACGAAAACCGGTTTTGTTACAAAATACGTTCATTTTTTTTTATTAATTCGGGTTTATATAGTTAAAAAACATAGTCTTCCGTCTGTTTGTCTATCAATACATAGTATAAAACAAAGTCGCTTTCGCTGTATGTCCGTATGTATGCTTAGATCTTTAAAATTACGCAACGGATTTTGATGCGGTTTTTTTTAATAGATAGAGTGATTCTTAAGGAAGGTTTGTATGTATAATACATGCATATTGCACCCGTGTGAAGCCGGGGCGGGTCGCTAGTTCTTTATAAACTCGAAAACTACTGAAATAGTTTTTATGTAACATAACATAACATTAGAATCACGCCTTTTATCCCCGAAGGGGTGAAGGCAGAGGTACACATTATGCCACTGTACAATGTAACACCCACTTTTCACTATCTAAGTTCCATGTAATAGGGGGTGAGCCTATTGCCATATACCGGGCACAATTCCAGGTTCCGTGCTACTACTGAGATTTTTATTTAAAATCCCAGTAATACTTTTCCCGACCCGGGAATCGAACCCGAGACGCCTTCGGCCAATGAGGCAGTTATAGTTTTTATATGTTTGTTTTACTTAAGTGAGTAACCTTAACGAATGAATAGTGAAGAGTGGGTGTTACATTGTATATACGCACCTCTGCCTACCCCTTTGAACATTAAAAGCTGTGACGTCATTTGGTAAACAAGTACCTAATGCGAATCTCATAATAAAGAAGAATGCCTTGGCTTTGTTTCAAAAAGGATTTAATTAGCTAGAGATGTAAGATAAATACTAAATTTAAATACTAATATTACTAAACACTATCTTCTGCCTGCGACTTCGCCCGCGTTCCCGTAGGGTAAAAAGTAGCCTATGTTACTCCATCATCCCGATCCCTTCAGCCGTTTTGAAGTGATTGAATGACAAACACACACAAACACACTAATTTTCGCATTTAATGATATTAAATGATAACGGCAGTGTAGAATATATTTGTCACCACCGCTACTCTTCCCGCGGGTGTCGTATACCCGACTAAGTGACTACACATTAGACAGAGACCGGGCAGCAGCGCTCTCTGATAAACCTGAACCTTTTATACTGCGATCTCCAACCCGCCTGCCTGCGGAGATTATGACAAACCCCTCTTATGTAGAGGAGGCTCATAGTGCAGCAGTGGACTGTTGATGGACAAAGCCGCAGGTAAAAGGTAGTCTTTGTAGTAAGGTCAGCAGAAAAAGCTAACACGTTTTATGCACTTGTGCAATTGTAAAGAAAATATTATGATGTCCATCTGTTAAACTAGACAGGTAGAGATAGCAAAACAGTTAGGTACTTTAATTAATTTTGTTCTAGATTTTAGTTTAGTGTTAACGCAATATTAAGCGTTGTAGTCGTTCGATTCCCAAGAAGGGTAAAAAGATGTCAGACGAAGTGTAGATAAATTCGCCAGCTATTATTTTAAGTCCTATGTAATAGCACTATTTATTTTAAAAACCAAGATGGCGTAGTATTCCTGATTGGTCTAAAAATCGAACTCAAGACCCCTGGAAGTAAGCAGGCTACCGTTAAAACACTTTTACGTACACTGTTGTAAAAAGTATCGCGAAGTTATCTTTGCCAGAGTCTGTATTCCCTGAAGGGTATATATAACCTGGGTGTCTTCAAGGCCCGAGTGAATAGGTTGCTTATGGGACGACGTGCTCCACCGTAGACTGCATCATCATGCACCACCAGCCGAGATAGTGGTCAGACGTCGATCCATCAAATATTAAAAAAAAAAAACTTTTCATAAATTGTATTATGGTCAACAACAGTGTTTTAGCTCATAACCCATCCTAATCTATTTAAATATAATAATATCAAAAACAAAAAACAAACCATATTAAAATATATCCCATCCACCGTTTGTGCTGACCCTCTCGTCCTTACAACGGCGTCATGTCGACGTCCTAGTAGATACCTATTGCAACATTTGAGTCTCGACGGCAAACGGCTGGGATAACTAATTTTATAATGTTTACGCTTCACATACTTCCAGTACATACATATAAACTTAGAGACAGACAGACAGACTGATAATAAAACATATACAAAACATAATTTATTTGGGAACTATGCTGTTTTTTCTTCTCCTCTTATAATATCTTCTAATTCATTTCGTTGCGGGAACTAAGACAGTTGTTCATGTCCCTGGGACGTTGGACTTTAATGTTCCGATGTTTTCATGGTTGTATCTACTGTAGATCCTGGTGCACAGGAATTGCAGTGGTTTTGGGAGGCTGTGGCGGTCTTGTCCCGATAAAAAAGACATAATTAATTCTCCATCATAGCTTCTGCCAATGGCTTCGCCCGCCTGTCCGTGGGATAAAAAGCAGCCTATGTGTTTATCCAGACCATAATTAACCCCTGTTCCAAATTTTACAGATCCATCTAGTATATTTTGCGTGAAAGAGTAACAAACATACATTATCATTATCAACAGCCTATAAGTGTCCACTGCTGACCAAAGCCCTCTTCTCACACGGACAAGGCTTGAGCATCAATCACCACGCTTGCTCAATGCGGGTTGGCGATTTCAAACTTATAATTAGCATTATAAGCCCAGGTTTCCTCACGATGTTTTCCTTCACCGTTTGTCAGTGGTGTCTAAATTATCTTAGAAAGCACATATAACTCGGACAAAGGTCACTTTGTCACCATCAGGTCTGATGGTAATCTTCAGATCTACAAATCCAAATAAAATGTTTTTTTTTAAAGAGGGAATATCATCTAATGACTTCTCTCGTCCGGGTGAGGCGAGAGGGAGTGTCAGAC